CCGTCTCGCGTCTCGCCGGCAAGAACGACGCGGGAGGACAAGTCAGGATCCTTCTGCAGCAGTTTATTGTATGCGCATCTTACACTCTTAGAAGCTTAAAGACCGAAGACGCCGAGAAGCGGGAGAGCGATATAGTCTATAGTCTAAAGGTCCCATCTATGACGTATAAGAAGCGGATTGGTTGCTGGAGATCACGCCACGGGAGGAGGCGAGGGAGAGCAGGCTCTTGTGCACGCCCCTTATGGGCGCAGCAGGATGTTTACTGTTAAGAAGGTCCGGATACCGGCGCCATCTTGTAATGGCGGCGGAGGCTGTGGCTCTCCACACCCGAGAGGCTGGAAAACCAACATATCTAATAATACTAATATAAGGGGCCAAAGAAACAACAAAATCTAAATACCCTAAAAATCCTATAGAGCATGAGAGCCTAAAAAGTCGACATAGTCTGTCAAACTAATAGTTGTCATGGAAGCCTATAGGGCCTAAATATCTTCAAAAAAAAAAAAAAAAACTACAGAAGCTGAGAGCCTCAAAAACCTACATAGCTTAAAAAAGTTAGCAGTGGGCCTGAGGAGTCTATAGAGTCTAAGAGTCTTACAAACTCTAAAACCATACAAAACAAAAAAATGTTACATTCTTTTATGTCACTCTGAATTATGGGCCCAAATAACATCCATATGAGCCTACCATGATACAGAAGCAGTTGTTCAAAGGAAGCTGAATGTAGAAAAATTGGCTTGAAGGACCAGTTTTGGTTTAATCATGGTACTAATATAGATATCTGCCATGGGCCAAGATAAGCCACACTAGACTTCTGGAGGACTATGAACAAGACAAACTTGCTGACACTGGATGTCCAGTGAGCCCCCAAATAAACAGGAATATAACCTAGTTTATAACTATTTTTGACAGAGTGCCACTTTTGTGAGTCTATATAAATATGGTCTTGAGGCCAGAGGCCTGAGCCTATGTATATTTGTCTGTAGGACCATGTCCTTAGATGCACGTGCCCTTTGTGTCTGCCTATGTGTCTGCCTGTGCCTGCTTGGGTGGTGCCCAAGCATGGTGATGTACATCTGGGTGCCTACTGGGGGTTTTCTGCCTAACAGCGTTTTATTTTATTCCTTCCCAATATCATATCCTTCACTTCTGTTCCAGGTTCACTGTGTGCTTATCCTTTTACAATATACAGAAGTCTGGGCTCCAAACGACCCACCTCATCACACCTGAGCATACCCTTATCCCTATGGTTGAATGGATGATTTTTTTTAAAAAATGCTATTTTCCTGTTTTAAACGCCTGAGGAATTGTCTTTCCCCTCCACCTCCCTCCACCTGTTTTCAATCAAACCTGCCAATGGTAAGGGATATGAATTATCCTTCTTCATATAAATATAAACAAATAAATAATTTGTAGACTAGCTAAATGTTCTACCATACTTTTACAAAGGTATGAGTTTTGCACATAGGTGTCCAACTGACACCTTAATTTTTCTGCAAAATAAACAACTTTATTGCAAACATTTTTCAAACAGAAAAGTAAAACAAGTGAATATTCTGGAAAAAGAAAATTAACACATGTCCTAATGATCCCAGAAAGAGCCACAGCAAAGGAGCCATCCCAGCTCAGTCCTCCTTGAGGGTGGTTGCCAGAGTGAGCTTGTCAAAGAGTACTCAGCCTTGGGGTCTTCTTGGGGCCCCCATGTGGCACAGGTTGGTCAGGTAGCCGCCCATCTCCTTGAGAATTTGGACCTGCTACTCCCGACAGTGTTGCTTTAGGAAGTCCCAGAGGTGGGCACGGCCTATTCAGTGGCCAGCTGTTGCAGGTTCAGGAGGCTTAGGTTTATGGTCATATCCAGGTTGAAGGCACTTTCCATGACCCGCAGGCCACCACTCCAATTGTCCCTGTCTGGTCTCAAAATCTGATGGAACACACTTTGGCCACCCCACTGATTCTGCAGGAACAGGAACATCTCGGTACTGGCCCTCTGCTTGTGTGACTTCCTCAGGAAGAAGCGCTTTAAGTTCCCCAGGGCCATGTCATCACAGTTGCAGTCTAAGGCCGTGGACAGGTAGGCATCGGAGGCATAGAGCTGCAGCTTGATGTGCATGTTGACAGCATCCTTGCAATCAGGGTGGCAGTTCTGCCTCAGTTGAGGGTGGGCTTCTGCCATGGCCGGGCCTTGAACACCAAGGCAGGCTCAGGTAGCATCTGTACTTGCACAGAGTTGAGGTGGAGAACGTGAGTGGTGAGGCATAGCTGCGGGTTGCGGGGTCCCTGAGAAAAACAGAAGAACCCCAGTGGAATGCAGGCTGTTGGCTTGGCTTGGTCTGCCGCAAGTGAGAGGCAGCATGGGAAGTGAGCACTGGTGCTGGATGATGACATCATTTCTGTGCCAAGGGTATGAGTGTCAGGGTCATACCAGAACTGGTGGTTTCTATAGCAACACAGCTTACCAAGCCCAGACTGGCCTTCACAATATATTTTAGAGGGATTTATGAATAAAGATCAAGGTTTTACAGCAAATCATATGCATTGTTTCTTTAAGCAGTTTTTTCAATGTCTACAAATTGTTTCTAACGTTCTGCTTTTTACTGTCTTTAGCTAAATTTAATATCATAAAGCTTTAGTCCAGTAATGCTCTCATTACTGACTCCCGCTAGCATATTTACTGATCCATATGAAATCAAAGTCAAGAGTCCTGTTTAAGGACCATGAGTCCTGAGATCCATCATCAAACCAGGAAATCCTGTGATGATTTTCACATTATTGTTAAATTGCAAGAATTTAAAATATATTTTCAGGAATAGAAGTATAATGTTTTTACATGAATCTGTCAGTTGCTGACAAAACAGAAGTATTAGGAATATTTCTAAAGACGGTACTGCTAACCAAGATAATCCACTTCCCCCAATCTGCATTTTTGCTGCCACTACCACAAATCCAAACTTTTCTTGTTTGTTTATCATTTATTACGGAGTTTGAAAACACTGGGAAAAAGACCACCAGACTCAATTCAAATGTTAATTGGTCAAATTTATTAGGGCTATGGGCCCTTAGTCAGATTGAGGACCCAAGGCCCCAAGGGGACGGTGGAACTAACTTTTAAAGGCAAAACTCACAAATGCCATAGGGATTTCATCACACATGAGTAATGTCAGGTGGTCCTGAATATGGTCAGGACACCCAAGTTAGCAGATAAGCAAATTACAGAAGCCAAAGCAAACTTGTGTTAGTTCTTCTCTTAAGAGGGTATAGAGGTTACCTTGGCAGTAAGGCACTTTCTGATTAAGTGCAACTACTGTGTCTGGGAAACCCAAGGTCAGCTACTCCAAAGAAAGCACTCTTCGAAGGGGAAGTAACTAAGTTCAGGCACTTAACCTTGAAGCTGGTTATTTTTCTAGCTTTGACATTTAAAAAGTGGCTGCTTTATACAAAATGAAGTTACTTTGGCCTTTACAATTTGGGGGACTCCATTTGGGGCCATAGCACACTCAGGTCCATGAAGTGAATGAATCAGCATTAGGAATCTAATTTTGCATTTAGTATAAATATATGTGTAAGTATTAAATTGTGTAATCTTCTAAGAGAAGGCTAATATTGCAATTAGCTGTTTTGTTGCAACTGAAACAAAATTTGAAAATAGGCTGTGCATGAGAAAAATTTTCTCTGTACATGATGTAAAAGTGCAATTTTCAACTTTAGATTACTTACTAATTCTGGAAGACAAATATAGTACCTGTTTTCTTCCTTTAGGACCTTCCCTTTCTGATTTTCATCTAATTACTGGCAGTTCTTCATGTGATAAAAAAATGGAAGAATCACTTAATGCTTTCTGCTCATTAAAATAGTTTTCTGATTTGTTTTTATGTATATGAGTGCTATGCCTGCGTGTGTGTAAGTGCACCTCTGTCACTCAGTGCTCGTGAAGGACAGAAGAGGGTGTCAGATCCCCTGGAACTGGAGTTACAGATGGCTGCTAGCCGTCGGTGCTGGGATTTGAACCAGGCCTTCTGCAACAATAGCCAGTGTTCTTAAGTACTGAGCTGTTTCTCCAGCCCCACAGTTTGCTAATCTCTAATGCCTTTTGGAATAAAGAAATCCAAAGACGAACCTGAAAAAGCAACAAAACTTCATAATGCAGCTTGTAAAGGATTAATTTATATAGAAAAATCTTTAATTTTCCAGAATTGCTTTTTTTTAAAGATTTATTTATTATTTATGTTTATGTCTCTCTGTGGGAGAATGTATGTATGTGCACCACGTTGGTGCAGGTGCAGTTTCTAGGAAGCTAGAAGAGGGTATCAGATCTCTTGGATTTGGAGTTACTGGAGATTGTAAACTGTCTGATGTGGGTAATACGATCTGCACCTGGGTTCTCTGTAGAAGCCATTAGTACTCTTAACCACTAAGACATCTTCCAAGGCCTGGGAATTGCTTTTTAAGTTGATGGGTGCCTGTCTTGTCTCTGTAAAAAGACTGCAAACTTGGGCTAGAAATACGGCTCAGCAGTTAAGAGCTCTGACTGCTCTCACAGAGGAGGGGGTCAATTCCCAGCACCCACATGGTGCTAACAACGTCTGTAATTCCATTTTCACGAGATCCAACACCCTCTTCTGACCTTAGCAGGCATTGCATGACATGGGTGCACTTACACACATACAGGCAATACACTCATACATACAAAATAAAAAGTAACAAAAATTTTTTAAGACTGTAAACTTCAGTGCCATGATATTTAGTCGTGTCCATACGTTTATTTTGTTAGAACTTTATTTTACTGGAGGTATAAATGTCAAAATTTCCTGCTGTAAGGTCTTATATTTCCTGTTGTATAATATTATTATACTACTAATAGGATGTGTACTGTGTTAGATTGAATAAAGTGTAGTAACACCTTCAGTGTGTTGGTTACCTGATACATATGCGTAATGTTATTCTCTACTTTACTTTGAAAAATCTTATGGCTCATGAAGCTGACTTTGTTTTGGTTCAAGGAAATAGTACAATATTGAATGTATGGTACTTTTGAGTGAGTTATTTAAAGGGTCATTTACATTCTCACACACACTTTGAAAGCTGTATTCTGGAATAGTTGGAAGCACATGAAACTCCTAGCAATACACAGGATGCAAGAATGGAGACTCAGGCCACAGGATTTATTTGACATAATATTGAGTTTTAGGAAAGTGTGAGTCTACAAAGAGTGTTCCTGTGTCTTGCGTGAGCACTAAAATTAATGTGGATAATGATGTCATCCACTTTTTCTCCAAGGAGACTGTATTTTAGTGGCATTAGTCAGAAACATTCAGGAAAAGTGTGCTTACATCATCTTATTTTGCTGGTGCATTTCGCTGTTTGCTTCCATGCTTCATATTCTGAAATGAAAATGGAAACTTAAGATTGTATTGCATTTACAAAGGCCCCATCTCAAATGACGACATGCAAATCAATTTCGTGTATTTCCTTCAGTTTTGTTGCTCCATATCAGGGTGTGATAGACAAAACCGAATGCAATGTTCTTGGCTGGAAAATGTTATTTCTTCACAGAACAGTTTTAAGTCAGGCAGTTTCTAGTGTATCCCAAGTCAGTTTACCACAGCTACTGAATAATTTTTATTGAGGCACATGCAACCGAATAATGGAGCTGCCCCAGCTTATCCAAGCACACCTAAAATGAACTCAAATGAAAGTCCTCAACACTGCTAATTTCGGAGCATTGTGGTTGGAGATATCGTTTCATATATTTAAATGATTTAATTATTTAGCCTGAACAGCTTATCTTTGCATATCCATAAGGGCTCGTCCTTTAACTTTGAGGTACAGAGGATGGTGAAGAACCCTACATATGAAATTTAAAAGTGAACGCCTTCTTGGTTGCCCTATATAAACTTTCTAGTCACATGGACTAAAGAAGGCTAGTTTGTGAAAAGAACTAACTGAACAAAATGCTGATCCAAAGTGGCATTATTTCATGCAAAAATCTTTGACTAAAGGGAAGTATACAGCAGTACTTATCAGCTATTTTGTAAGTGAAGTTGAATAATAGATGTTCTAGTTTGCTTTCTGTTTCTGTGATTAATATCTTGATTAAAAGCAACTTGCACAGGAAAGGGTTTATGTCAGTTTACAATTCCAGGTCACAGTCTACCATTGCCTAAAGCCAGGGGAGGAACTCAAGCAGGATGTGAAGCGTGACCATGGGCAAATGCTGCTTACAGACTTGTTCTCTGGTTCATGCTTAGCTAGCATTTTACACAGCCCAGGGCCATCTGCCTAGGCATGATGGCCCTAACAGTGGACTGGGTCCTCAAACATCGATCACAAACAAGACAGTCTCTCACAGAAATGGCCACAGGCCAATCTGATACAAGAAAATTTCCCAGGTGAGTCTAGATTGTGTCAAGCCAACAATAAAGCCCGTGGTCCGAATGAGAAATATCCCCCAGAGGCCCAAGTATTTGAAAACTTGTTACCTGGTTCATGGCACTGTTTGTTTCCTACAGCTTCATTCATCAGAGTCCCTATATAAATTCAGATTGCTTTGCTTATTCATGCTGATGTCTGTGTCTATGGACAAGACACCAGCCCTTTGCTATGTTCTTCTGAAGTAAAGAGGACATATTCCTTGCCTCTTGCAGGTCTGGCTCTGGTTCTTATTTTTTAACTTTAAACTCCTTCCTTTTTCTGCCCTCCTAAATCTGTGTACTGAGATTTAAGCCCATACAGGGAGGGTTCCAGGGGCTCATCCTCGAGGTTCCAGGCCCTCTCTGGACCTTCTCCAGAGGCCTCTGGGCGGCTCTGGCCTTAGTGACCGTTGAGTGTGTAGCACTCTGGCTGTGTTTACCTAAGCCCACGTGACGGGTAGACCTGCCCCTCCAGCACACTCCATTGCTTTCTCTTTTCCTACTGCCCACTGCCAATTTGGGGATCCAGCCTGTCGGGAGCCTGGACCCCTCTCAGCCTAGTAATTAAGGTCCCCATCGAGACCAGGGACCTCTGAGGTCCTAAGGGCCTGAGCCAGTAGGAGTAGAAGGCCTTTTGTCTTGAGGTCACATTGGTGTTCTGTGTAAACCCAGGTTGGACTCCTAGGAGAGGGTAGGGACAGTCTTTCACTTGGGGCCTCTCCTTGGCCCCTCCCTCCTAATTCTCCTCTTCACCTTCTGATGGTCT